GTGGAGGTAATAGCAGGGGACAAGTGGTAGCCTTAAGAGGAAAATCAGTGATTCACTCACAAAAATGATGGTTATTAGTTTGAGAAGTTGAAGCTTTGATATTCCTATCTAATTGGAGTGGGTGATATTTCCAAAAATCATTGATTTATGGTTGAACATCTTTGTCTTTTTTTTTTTTAAGATTTATTTATTTATGTTTACAGAGCTGGGGTACAGGCCAGAGGCCTGGTGGGTTAAAGGATTCACTAGATAGATCAGAGTGGGGAGCAGAACAGGCAGATGAACTGAAATACACTGCTGAGAGGAGCAGCAAGCAGGACAGGAGAGGGCTGCCATGCCATGTGGGTCAGCTCCCTGTGCAGAGATGGAACTTGTGCTGCAGTGGCTTCGGAGAGCTTCATAATGCAGTGCTTTCAGCCCGTTGGGCTGCCAGGGAGAGCCATCTTTTGTTATTTTTAATGGGAATATTCTTGGCTTTGTGTGCTGGTCACTGTTGCAATTACATTGTTACAGTTGTAGCTATTGACAATATGTAAATGAATGATACTACTGTCTCTCAGCAAAATTTTATCTATAAAAATAGTGGGCTGGAAATTGTAGGCCACAGTTTACCAAAATTTATTTCTAACTAAACCTCATTAAAAATGATCTGTGTTGACATACATACATACCCTTCTTTTCTTTTTAATCAACTCTGAAAATCTCTCTCTGTGTCAGTTTATAACTAGAGTGTTTAAATTTTTTTGCATCTCAGTTCTAATAATTATAATGCATTATTGTAAATAACTGATAGTTGAAAATTAATAAAATTGATAGTCAATTAGGACTTTAAAAAAGTTGTTTGGTTTTTTAAAATATGGAGAAAGATGCATAATATGACACTGATTACCATTTCAAAGTATACAGTTCAGTGGCATTAAGTACACTGTCACCATCTTTATAACTTTTTCATCAGCCCAAACTGTATTCATTAAATGCTAACTCCCAGCCCTCTTCCTCCCAGCCCAGTTTGTTGAATTTTATTAATCATTTTAGAACCATTGGATATTATCTTAATGGTTTTTCATTTTTATCCTAGTGTTCATGAGGAGTTACTCTCTTACAGATTTCCTAATATACAACTATCCTTCAGTTCTCTAAATAAACCAAATTCAGCGTTATCATAGTGATGGTTTATTGTTGTTTTAATGAGCTGTTTGGTTCTGTTTGCTAATAATTTACAGGTGATTTTTATATTGAAACTCCTAAATACAAATTGTTTCCAATATTTTGTCCTCTTAACAGTTAATACTTAATTAAAAAAATGTTTATGCTCTTTTTCTATCCTTTGGTATTTAAACAGTTTATATATTCCTTTAAATGCATTATTTAAATATATTATTAAAATATAAATTTAAATATATATATTTCTTTAAAGGTTTTTATTTATTCCTCTAGAGATGGATAGTATTTGCTTTTGAAACCAAGACTTTGTGTCTTATAGTGAGGGAGTATATATCTCTTTGATAATTTTCATTTTTTTCCCATGGTAATTAGTTGGGTCTAATTTTGAATCTATCATAGGATCTATTTTCAAAGTATATCTCATTAGGAAAAAAAACTCTTCTGGGACTAACATTAGAAATTGCACTTCTTCAAAGTGTTCAACTTCTAGCTTGGTAGTAATTCTCTAAGAAAATCTGGAAATAAAATAGGAAATCTGTAAAGATTTTAAATATAGTTGGTTTGACAGTGGTTGGTACAGCTGGCATTTTTCTCACTTCCTGATTTTGTGTTCTGTCACTTTCCATCACTAATTAGGTTGTTTACTAAGTATGACTGAATGTTTCAGATGTAATTGGTGCTAGTAATTATTCGATCAACAAATACTTAAAAAGCATTTGCTGTGTGCTGCTGAGCATTGTTCTGAATCAACTGTTGATCATTTTGAAGAGTAAAATACTAATGTAATAAAGTAACTGATAAGGGGCCTATATTCATTAGTGTAGTCCTCTCAGGGAATTGACTTTTGAACTGGGATATGAACATGAGAATTAGAAGTTGAGGAAGAGCTTTAAAAGAAAAGTCAGGGGTAAAATTATCAAGAAGGAAATGTATGATGATGGGCTGAAGCAAATGAGTGAAAAAAGTGAAATGAGATGGAATGGGCAGGAACCAGACTATAGGACATATAGCATCTGGGATTTATTAGAGACTGATGAGATTTTAAGTGGAGAATAGTACAGTTTAAAAGATCAACCTAGCTGCTTTGTGGAAATTAAAATGGAAAAGAACCAAGGTAAAGTTATGGGGATAATGGAATGAAACTATACTTTTGGAATAGGAGATGGTAGTAAAGATTTTTTAAATAGTTTGAGAATATTTTCAAGTTATAAATAATAGGAATCCTGTATTGCTAATGATAATATAAATTGAATCCTGTAATGCTAATGATAATATAAATTGCCTAATCTCTGCTTCTGAAAGTCATAAAGCATGTCAACTGTAATTTTTAAATTACTTACTTTTTAAAGCCATACTTACAGCATACTTTTACAGAAAGAATGTATACACAGACACATACTAGCTAAAGAAAATGTAACACTTTTTTTAAAATTACCAAAGTAGACTTAGGCAACACTGGGGAAAGAGAGGTTCATTACATATTGATAACAAATTCAACTTACCAGTAAAAAAAGAAAGTTTTTTTTGGAAGTTTTCAACTTGACTGCACCTAATAAAAATTCAAATATGTTAAACAAAAGGTGGCTAAACTATATCGAGAATTTTAAGAAATTTACTATCAGTGGGATATTCTTCCATACCTTTCTCAATTACAGTATAATTTCATGAACATTAAAAAATGTTCAGCTCTCTGTAGCAGAGTAATACAACTCAGTTAAGCATGATTTTTTTTTTTAAACCAGCACTGCAAGGATACATTACCAGAAATACATTAACAGAAGAAATAAACATGTGCTATGTTACAAAGCACAGATTAATACTTTTTTTTTTTTTTAAAGATTTATTTATTTTTACAGAACGAGGGTACAGGCCTGAGATGCGGAGGGTGAGAGGATTCACCAGAGACAGAGTAGGGAGCAGAACAGGCAGATCTATGAAGTACACTGCTGAGGGGAGCAGCGGGCAGGTCAGGAGAGGTCTGCCACGCCATGTGGTCACCTGCTGGTCACCTACGGGGCAGGCGGGGATCCAACTCTTGCAGAAGTGGCTTAAGCGTCTTCGTGCTGTGCTTTAACCCGCAGTGCCACCAGGGAGGGCTCCAGATTAATACTTTTTAAAGAATCAGTATCCTGTAGACTGTTCTCTGACACATTGCAGTTAATATGGAGATTTAAAATAAATAATCTTTTAAATGTCCATGCATTTAAAATTTACATCTTTGTAATTAAAAAATACCAAAAAATACCAAAGGTAACAAAAAAGGCAACAAAAAATACTAAAACTTGTGGAATGAATTGGTATTTGAAAGGAAATTTGTCATTATAAGTGCTTATGTTAAGAAAAGGAAAAAAATGTTAGAAATGGGAGAAGTGTGCATTAAACTTGAAATAGAAAGCAGTGCTGCAATATAGAAAATAAGAACATAAGTGCAAAAATCAGTTGTAGTACTTGTCAAATCAGAAACTAATATTGTGAAAAGATTAAGAGAAAACATTTGCAATTAGTAGAAAACCTGAATAATCCTATATCTGTAACAGCTGGGTAAATAATTGGTTTAAAATTTTTCTGTGTAGAAAAGAAAAACTAGATGGCTTTAAAACTAAATTATCTCAAACTTTCAAAGATATGCCACTCAATTACCAAGCAAAGGGGATAAGAATGTCTATTTTGGTTGAAAATTAAAACTTTCAAGGTTTTAGCACCTGATTAATGTCTTAACTTTAAAGTATAGAAACTGTGTGTGTCTTTAGCAATTGGTCACATGACTTAAAAATAGCATTTTTCGGGTTCTCCCTGGTGGTGCAGCAAGCACAGCACTGCAAGCTAGTGGCAGCTACTTCAGTGCCAGTTTAATCCCTGGCCCGGGTGTGACCACATGGCACAGCAGATCTCTCCTGTTTTCCCCGCTGCTCCCCTCAGCAGTGTACTTCGTTGATCTGCCTGTTCTGCTCCCCGCTCTGTCTCTTGTGAATCTTCTCACTGCCCCTGCACCTCTAGCTTGTACCCCAGTTCTATATGCATAAATAAATAAATCTTTAAAATATATACACCATTTTGCTTCATTTGTTAAATGGAAGGCTTTTGAAATATCTCTAAGACTAAAATATATAAATGATTTATGACTTAGTGCTTTGAAAACACATCATAAAAGATGTTAAAAGCTAATTTATCACTAAAAAGTAGCCTTCACTGGTTGAAGCTCTTTTGGTAAACAGAATCACAGATATTTCAGAAATATGCACGATAAAAAGTGAATTCAAATCGTTTGAAAAATTACGCTCAAAAACTATAGCGACTAGTTTCCCTTTGTGAACTAAAAATATTTTGTGTCTATAAAAGCATGTATGTGTACACATCTTCTTATTCAGCTAGTGTTAAAGAATTGATAGACAATTAGTATTTTGTTTTTATGGGTTTGTTTATGAATCTTTTTATAGGTTGTTCCATATTTGCATATTAAGTTTCTTCATTCTTAAAGAGAAATCTGCATAATACTGCACTACACAATTTATTTAACCAACTCTTTCAATTCACATTTAAATTGTTTCAAAGTTTTGCATATTATAAGGAATGCTGCAAAAGATAGCCATGCACATACATTTTTTAGGAAAAATAAAAGTAGAGCCACTAGGTCACTGAGTACTCACACACCTAATCTATAGTTGTAACCTAGTTTCTCCACAAAGTTAAAGCAATTACATACCCACCCAGCACTTTATAAATTACCTTTCTATAAAACTTCATTCAAGACAGCAGAAAATCAGAATTTTAGAATTTTGCCAGCATTTGAAACTTTCATTGGTTTTGTTTTTTAAAAAGATTTATTTATTTATACATACAAAACCAGGATGTAGGCCAGTCCAGAAGTGCTGGGGTGAGAGGATTCACCAGAAATAGAGTGAGATGCAGAACAGGCAAATCGACTGAAATACACTGCTGAGGGGGGCAGCGGGCATGTCAGGAGAGGTCTGCCATGCCATGTGGGTCAAAACCCTGCACGGGGATAAGTGACTAAGATAGCTTCATAGTGCTGTGCTTTATTTAACCCATTGTGCTACCAGAGAGGACCTTTCATTATTGTTCTAATTAACATTTCTTTTATTATAAGTGAATAGACTATCTCTTCATATGTTTAAGAGCTATTTGACTTTCTCTTCTGCCACCTATCTTTCTTCCTTTCTCTTGAAACATGCCAGTCTTTTCATTTTTGCTGTTTTTTTTTAAATAAATATCGTGCCTCAGATATAATAATTTTTCTCCATTTAATCTTCAATTTTTGGATATTTTGATGTTTCTGTGTTTTCTTTAATGTTGCATGTTTTATAGTCTGCTAAGGCTGTTGCTTTAAGATTTTGCATACTTAGAATGAAATTTTTGTAGAAATTTATTTCAGTATTCTAGTACTTAATTGTTAGGTGGTGGTGGTTGCATGGATATTCATTTTTATAAGTTACATCTGGAGTTTATTTAAAATAAATAATAACAAAAATATAACCTCGCAGTTGTCCCAATAGTATTACTTTCCCTACTGTTCTGAAATTCTAAGTCTCTTCCTTATTTTCTCTATTGTCCCATTAATTTATTTGTCTCATTCCTGTGATGTTATGTCTAATGGAAGACTGTATGAAATATGAAAATGATAGTAAATTTTATAATTTTGATGATGAACAGAGTGAAGTGTAAATGGAAGAATGGCCTAAAATTAGTACTCAAGACAAGCATTTCTGAGGTGATGTTTAGTCTGACTTGAGTATCAAGAAGGAGTACCTGCAAAACAAGGATGAAAGAACAGTTTAGATAGAGGAAGTGGCTCTAAGATAGAAATGATCTTCGTATGTTGCAAATGTATAAAAGTAGTAATGAGTGTAGTAAAAGTAGAAAATGGTTTAAGTAGTCACAGTTGGAGAGGTAGACAAAGGAAACATCTAAGTGGAAACTACTTTTATAGAGAGATAACAACTTGTTTCTCTTTAGAAATAATTTTATAAAGCAAATGTTTTAAGAATCCTGCTAAGTGGCTAAAACTCAGGGTAAACAGTCTGCTTAAAGAACAATTTTTTGATGTGTTTTAATATAATTTTTTATCCCCTTAAAATGTTTGTATTAGGGAACAGACATCCTTGGAAGAGGGAGAAATTCCTTGGTTACAGTACAATGAAGTCAACGAAAGCAGCAGTGATGAGGGAAATGAGCCTGCCAATGAATTTGCACAGCCGGAGGCTTTCATGTTGGATGGTAACAATAACCTTGAGGATGACTCCAGCGTGAGCGAAGACCTTGATGTGGACTGGAGGTGTGTAGACAGTGTCTTCCATGTTCAGTTGTTCTTTGAGTAGAGTTTGTTCATGTTTCTAAATCATGAAAATTGAATCTGTAACCAAGAAGTTTTCTAATTTCCTCATCTGTTAGTCTTCCTTTCTTTCAAAGCTTGTTTAGACATCCCTTTGTGCATGGGCTTCTTTCTTAACGCCTAACAGTGTCTCTTCCTTCTTGGGGACTTACCTTCTATCCTAGTTATTTATACTCAATAGGATGAGCATTATTACTTTTTAGTTTAATTTGATACGCCCTGTAGCATTTAGTATAATCCTTAAAAAAAAAAAAAAAGACCTTTCATAAATATGATGGAATCAGAATTATAAGAATACAGTTTTCCTTTGTCCTTCCTTCCCCATCTCTCTTTGTAATTGTATATTCCCAGAGATGTTGAAATTATTAAATTTATTTTGTGCTTACAGAAACACTGAGCTTCAAATAAAAATAGCTTGTAAATTAATTGGATCATAAACTACTGTCTCATGATATAGTGATCAGAATTTAACTTTCAAGTATGCAGTAGTTTTTGCAAGTATTTACAAAATACAATTATTGAGATATTTCTGCAGCTTGTTTTTTCTGAATGACCCTTTTTCTTACTTTTTCTGATAAATGATTGTACCACTTATTTACTCTTTTATAATTGGAAGAGAGAGAAATTCCTTTTATAATTACCTATCTTCGTGTAAGAAATTGGAGTTCAAATTATAAATTTAGTAAGGTAATGCGAAGTTAATAATGTGTGGTTATATCTAAGTTTTAAAATCTATTTGTAAATAATAATTTTCTGAAATCTGAATTGGCAAAAGTAGTACAAAGAACTCCCATACAGCCTTCATTAAGTATTAACATTAGCCACATTGGTGATGTTATTCTCTCTTTTTTTGGTGACCTACTTAAAATTGCAAATAATATGCCTCTTCACCCATGCATAGTCTAGAATGAATTCCCTAAAGGTGTAAGGATTTTTTTTTTAATGTAACACAATAAAAATTTTAAGAATCAGATTGAAACTTACAGTTCTCTATACTTACCCCACTTAATGCTTTGGGAGAAATTTTTCTCTAGTTTATCATTATATATTTCTTTAATCTTTTTTTAAAATCTGGATTTTTTCCCCCTCATCTCTTTGTCTTATGTTACATTTTTTAAAAATTTAGGCTATTTAGTTTGTAGTATCCCTTAAGTTGGATCCGCCTCAGTTATATTTAACTTACGAATTTTTAGCAGGAACACCATAGGCACCATGCTTTGTTCTTCCTGGCACCTATATGTCATGTAACGTCAGCTTGTCCTGTTACTGATAATGTTAATGTTAATTCTTGTCATTTGGCTAACCTGTTACCTTTCAGATTTTTTTCACTGTACAGTCCCATTTTATAATGAGAGATATCCCATTATAGTGAAAGGCATCTAGTGGAAGATACTTAGAAACTATAAATAACCAGTTTCTTCTTAAACTACCTACTGCCATCCATTCACTGCATTTAGTGATGGGTTTGTGAAATAGTTATTATGGTGGTGATTGACAAGTGAATGATGGTAGATATTTAATATTAGTTATTAGTGACTAAACTTTTCTTGTTTAAGCATGGTTCAGTTAAATATGAACTTAAATCCCTATCTCATTGACGTCAGCACTCTTCTTTGCCTCTTTCCAGTATATCCTACTACTAGATGAAGAGGATTTAGTATTTTTAGAGTTTAGAATTAGTAATTCTTAGTTTTTAACCTAATTCTAAAATGTGTATTTGTCAAAAAATGTTCCTTTTTACATTATGATGTCTGTTAATTTCTAGATACTAGTCAGCTATAATGTATTCTTCATAAGAATACTTCTGTATGTCTTGGTAAAAGGTTTGTAATTTTAATGATGGCACCAAGGGTTGACTCTGGAACTATTTTGAGCTGACTGGTGAAATTTGATGTTTGTAACTATTCAACTTTTGACTTTTGGTAGAGCTATGGAAGGCAAGATGTTTGTCTCTAGGCAGGCAGAATATACTTAATTTCGGTGATTGTGAATTTGAGGTGATGGGAGTTCCTTGGTGTTAGAAAATTAGAAACATGGTCCATGAACTCAAGGAGTTCAGAAATGGACAGAGGTGAGGATTTACCGGTAGAGAGAGAGGGGATCAGTGCAACAATAGGCTTGAATGTGACTGTCAGAGGCACAAGATTAGAGAAAAGAGGACTGAGGAAATACTAAGTATTCCAAATTTTGAAATACTTAGGATTTTCAAGGCTACAGGAAAAGGTGGAGTCTATGGACTTCTACTAGTGGGGAAAGGAGATTGACAACAGATTAAAACATTTTTCTAGGGGCTTTTAGTTCCTTAGAAAAAGTAAAACTAAGCAGGAGCTAAGTGTTTTCAAGCTGAATAATAATGGAAAAAAACCTAATTCTCAGAAAAAATCAAAGAGATTCATAAGAAAGGCTTGTGAAAATAAAATATTTTGAAGCATAATGTAAATAATATAAGCCAAGGAAATTTTTTACTGATAGAATTAAAATAATTTTTATCATGTTCTTACCTAAATTTAGATTAGAAACTTAATAGCAGAGAAATGAAATTAGGAAGGAAAAAATAGTACTACTACATGTACTCCAGCCCAACCCCCAGAGTCAAAACCAAAAATATAATGTGGTAATTTTCTTGCATACTTTGTATACAGTAAGTGTGGCAGGGAACTTACTGGCAGGAATGGAGCATAATTCCTTATGTTTAACATTTAATTGTTCTTTTGCATTGTTCCTGACCTTCAATCCACAAGATTTATATTAAAATATTTTCAGGTTTTCTGTTTCTGATATATCTGTTGTCTGATCAGTATGCTAATAAATTTATTTCTTTACCCATAAAAATTTTTCAAATCATGTATATTTTCTTTTTTTTTTAGCTTGTTTGACGGCTTTGCAGATGGGTTGGGAGTTGCTGAAGCTATCTCTTACGTGGATCCTCAGTTCCTCACCTATATGGCACTAGAAGAACGCTTAGCCCAGGCTATGGAGGTATTTCTCATGCCCATATGTAATTGTTGAGGTGTCAACTGATAAAAGCTAACGATTTTAAGTGTTTTTTTTTTTTTAAGTACACTTCAGAAAAGGTATGTCACAATTGTTGAATAGAGTTGAATAGTGATGTCACCAGTACACCTCACATCCTGCTAATTTGCCTAAAATTGTAGTATTTTCCAGTTTTTATTACAGAGCAGACTGTTTTGTTATATGTAAAAAATACACTTTTTGTCTATCATACACACGTGTTTGAATCTGAATACTTTATACACATATAGGCACACGGAGATGTATTCATGAAGTGAGACTAAAGACCTTCAAGGATATTTTATAAATATCTTCCCTGTTTTAGTTCTCATGACTTTTACATTCTACCCTGCTGCTGAATGCAGTGAGGAAATTTACTTTCACTTAATCTCCACATATACACACAGTTCAATAAATGTGGCGTATTTGATGTCTAAGTATGTCTTGACTTCTCGCCTTACTTGACTAAAAAAAAATTTATTTGCCTGAGATTAAAAGTCCAAGTTTTTTTCTCCTTTGAGAATTTCCACTAAACTAGTAGATTTCACTATAAGAAGTCTTTCTTCAAATCATTATTTCCAAAGCAGAACTCTAATCTATTAAACTGAATGAGTCAAAGGTGGGAAGTGAGCAAAAATGAGTAAGAGAACTTTCAGAAACATATAAAAGCATTTTATCTCAAAAAATTCTGAGATTTAGCAGCTCTAGTTCATATTGGCCCCTAACATACACACCCCTGCACTTAGTTTTCTATGCTTCACTGTAACATAACATAAAGATCGTTGTTCTCATTATGTTTTATGTTTTGCTCATAGTGACGATAACAGAAATGCGGTTTTACTAGGTGAAAAGTCAGAAAAGAATATCATGAGACAGGTTATATGTAACACTTTTTGCAAGTTGTTTAACGTGTCTTAAATTCTAACACACATGAAATAGGTCTAATGTGATAACTTGTACCAGAATATTTATATAGAACGATTAAGGGTTATAGTTACTTTAATTAAAAGATTAGGCACTCACTTCCTTGAATTAACTAAACCTGAGTCACCACATTGGAATACCCAAACCAATTGCAGTAGGGGTTGATTAAGTGCGTAAGCAGTTTTTTCCGTTATTAAACTATTGGTTTATGGTCTTTTACAATATGGATTTTTCTTTAAAATGAAGTTGTGAAATTTAAGCTGCTACCTGTTACTAACAGGAAATATGATATTAAATTAGTATCTTAAAAGAAAAGCCAGAAAAATGTGTCATGGAGGTAAAGGCACTAGCCAAGGAAACAATGACAATAGGCAAGAGGGGCCATGATACATACAGGGAATATACAACCCCATAATTGTCTGCTTCTGCTCTTAGGGAGTCTGGTAGCACTGCACTTTCTGCTATTCTTCCCCATCTTTTATTCTGCTACTACTTAATGACATTAAGTGTCACCTTTCCCTTTAGTTTAGCATCTTCCTTAGATTTATTGCTATTTTATTTGAATTTAATTGAGACATGTTTTATGTCTAGAGAATCATGCAATTCCCTCTTTATTTTTCTTTGTTTAGTATACCTAGTGTGCATTTTGAAAAATGAAGCTGAATTTAAGTCTCCTAAAACTCTCTTTGCTTTTGGAATCCTCCAAAATTTTTTTTATATATTTATACAAACACTTTCTATAGGCTGGGGTTTAAGCATTAGGAAGGTAGTATCTAGGTAAGAGCATGTGCTTTGAGTCAGACTTATTTAGGCTGTGTGATGTGTGACCTAGGACTGTTCATGTAGACTGTTTAAACTACATATCCTCATCCACAAATTAGGATAATAAAATCTACCTCATGGATCATGGTGAGATCATGTTAATGTACTTACTAGAACACCTGGTATAGTTATCTGCTCTTGACTATAGTAAATGACTATAGTCAAAAGATATATCCAAATCAGTACTCAAGTAGAAATCATCTCCCAAATGGATTCAGTGGTCATTTAAAATCAGTATTAAATCTTTTTTTTTTTTGGTAAATCCTTATTATTTTAAAACAAATGTCCATTCTCTTCTCTTGAAATTAAATTTTGTGCTGACCAACAATCATTCAACTTTAAATATAGGTGTATTCCAGTTGGGCCATTTAAGATATTTACTTATCTTTCTGACACTTTAACTTTTGAAAATCTGTTGTTTTGCCTGAAGATAAAGATTTTTTGTTTTTCATGTATTTTCGTAACAATGATTATAAAATGGCTTTTCTTGCTCTTGCTTACATGATTTCAAATCATAATATGTTAGTATCAAAGCAATTATTTTAAGTAGATGAAATTACAGATATTTATTAACACTGAAAATTTGTAGATAATCATCAGACAGGAGTGATGAAGCCATTGTGTCAATGCAAAGTTAGCTTGGACTAGTGTCCCCAGATGGAACTTAATACAAACAGTATTCCTCCTTTGTGTTTGTATAGCACAGATGAGTTCTTGCAGTCTATTTTGACAGTACATAAGGAATTGGAGGAAATTCATGATGATAATAGTTAGGTAAGCAAAAACAGGGACAAATAATAGGCTATTCTTTTTTTATTTCCAGATGGGCAAGTTTAATTGTAAAGGATTATTAACATTAAAAAGTAACAAAAGAATATTTATTTAGGAATAAAGAGAATTTTTAAAAAATGTAAAAAAAAGTACATCCAAAGAGCAGTTACCACCTCTGGGACTGTGATCACTGAGAGCAGTCCCCACTCTGGCCCCAAGCTAAGAGCCATCTGCATCAGGCTGGCACAGCTGTAGCTGGCTGGATAGTAGCGAAAGCACTGTGATATTGCACTAACAGACTTACATACCCAAAATCATGCTGTTGGATGTCTGGGAAGCTATTCATAGATAACTCACTGGAAGCACTTTGCTGCAGGACTGTTCAGGATGGCTGCTGAGGGAAGCTGCTGGCACTGGGTGCTGCTCACTAGATGCTGGAGAAGCTGTGTGCACTGTAGAAGTCTGATGCTAGAAAAAGCTTCATGCCACAGAAGCCTGTCAGGCAGGCACAGGGATCAGAGCAGAGCCCTCTTCCTCCTGTAATGTCTTTTCAGCAATCTCTCTGAATAAAGCTGAGCATCATGGTATCTGAAATAAGGAAACATTTAAATGGTCCAAAGCCATTTTGACAGAGCTAACAAAAACAATAAATTTGAATTTAAAGAACTAACTAGTAACTATACTATTTCACCCCTCTGAGTACTTGATTCCATATATACCTTTCTGTACACATTGGGACAGTTCTACTTCTACCTAGTAAGAAACAGCTGTTTTTGTAAATGAAGCAGTTTTACCTGTCCTCCAAAATGAACAGATGAACAGTCCCAAGAGTCATATCAATCACTTGTTGTATTAATTCCTCCATAAATTCAGTCACCCACACTGAATATTCTTTAATAAAAAGGTTATATTGCAAAGTTAGATGTTTATGAAATAAAAATGGTAGGAAAGAGAAAAAGGAAATGGTCAGCAGATACAAATAAGACACATCTATATAGCAAGCAAATAAAAAACATGCAGAAGCCTAGTCCTTGTTTCTACAAGGCCATGGTAGATAGCTGTGGTTTTCTTTCATAACTCATTTTTTTCCCTGTATTTTCCTTGCCCTTATCAAGGATGTCAGCTGGTTAAAATTCTTTGCTTGGTGGAATCACCCAAACCTATGTTTTGAAAGAGGCTATGCTCTCAGTCCCTCTGTCTTTTTGGACTGCTGTTACAATTTGATGTAGCAGTACTAGTGGGTAGAGAAGTTCTAAGACATGTATGCTTAAACTGAGATTTTCACAGGATTTTCACATAGGGGAACACTGGTAAGGGTATGCTACTTCAGCTGGTCAGAGGCCTAGTGTGATGGTAATTCAACCAGATGTTCCCATTTGAAGTTTCAAAATCCTGTTCTTTAGCCAACTAATGATAAAAATTTTGAGAAAAGTTTACAAGACTGGGAATTACTGTTTCAATTGGTGTTGCACTCATTACAAATCTTTTTGTTTTTCGGAAATAAATGTTTTAGGAATATCATGAAATTCTCTAGTTCACATTACTATACTTGTCCCTGGGATGTAATGAGCTTAAGTTTATTATTTTATCTTTGTGAATGTAACGACACTCAAAAGGAAACATCCCACATAGCAGTTTTTATAGTTATCATCCTGTCAGGAAGTAAAGTGCAATAGCTACCAGGCTTTCAAGATTCATCCTGTGGTTGGCACTTAATAGTAGTCAGCCACATTGATAGTTTGATGCTACAGGTTGTGATGCTACAGGTTGATAGAATCCCATTCTGGAACCCTGACCTCAAACCTAAAGGCCCAAACAAAATAGTTCCAAAAACTTTATTCTTGTTTCATCAGAACATTTCTGATACTAATTTATAAAGCCTAGGCTTAGTCATAAGAGAGAAACAGTAACTTGAACGGGTAAGTTTAATATAAAGAATTTTAAAATATAACATGAAAGTAGAACCTGAGGGATTGGCTAGAAGGAATTAAACTAAAAAAATAGGAGTAGCAGGTTTAAAGGCAAGCATTAATACTGAAATAGAGCACTCAACCTTCCCACTCTGCATGGTTGAGATCTGTACTATGTTGGGGAGGACACAACTTTTGCTCTTTAAAAAAAAAAGTGTGTGGGGGGCCCTCCCTGGTGGCACAGCGTGTTAAAGCACAGCACTAAGAAGCTTAAGCCACTTCCTCATGAGTTCGATCCCACCTGCCCCAGCAGGAGATCCACATGGCGTGGCAGACCCCTTTTGACCTGCCTGCTGCTCCCCTCAGCAGTGTACTTCATAGATCTGCCCGTTCTGCTCCCCATTCTGTCTCTGGTGTGTTCTGCTCCCCATTCTGTCTCTGGTGGGAACTCTCACGCTCTGCATCTCTGGCCTGTACCCCAGTTCTGTATGAATAAATAAATAAATCTTTAAAAAAAAAAGTGTGTGTGTTAATGACTAT